AATAAGTTTGTTGTTTCTAATTTTTGTTTTTTTTTATCGTTCTGTATTGTTTTGTATCAGTTTGTATATTGTTTTGTATCGTGTTGTATTGCATTGTTTATGTATGGTTGGCTAGTTTTTCTGGTTGAAACGTTGAAGCCTGTTAATGAGGCTATTGCACATGGACGAATGTTTGAAATAAATTTGGTGGCAGATGTGAAGATTGAAAGAGAAAGGAGAAAGAGGGAGAGGAAGAGAGAGAGAGAGAGAGAGAGAGAGAGAGAGAGAGAGAGAGAGAGAGAGAGAGAGAGAGAGATCGACTAAAACGACTTTAATGATTTGATCAGAGTACGTTTTGTTGCTTGAAAAGCTAAGAAAATCTTCCTTACGTTCATTTAATTTCCTTTTATATAACAATAAACATATGGTTATAGCTCGTGTACGGTTATTTATTTACTTAGCAATAATTAATTCTTAACTCATTCCCATTAACTTAATAATTTATTCGCTAATTGATTTGCATAATTAATTAATTACAACAACACACGTTTAGACGACATTTTCCCCGAGATCGGGGGTTGCCGTTTGGCTACCCATGATGAAACCGAAATACCCCTCGACGCCATCCACATCTGTCACTCGCCTTAGTATCACGCAACCCCGCTTTTACCCTGTCCTTCTCCACCTGCTCTCTCCATCCCAATCGCGGACGACCCCTTCCTACCACTCCTTCAACCTCGAACTCCAACGCTCGCCTAATCCCGACCCTTTCATCCCTTCTCAACACATGTCCATACCACCGCAATCTCGATCTCCTTATCAATGTCACAATGTCCTCATTCAGTCCCATCCTCGACATCAGCTCTGTACTACTCCTCCTATCCTTCACTTTAACCCCACACATCATCCTCATCATAGCTCTTTCAGCCCTCTGCAATACACTTTCCTCCTCTCTCCTCAACACACAAGTTTCACCACCATATACCATCGCTGCTCTCACACATGCTTTATATACCCTCCCTTTCATCTTCACTGACCATTTCTTTCCACACAATACCCCACCCAGTTCCCTAAATTTCATCCATCCCACACGAACTCTAGTCGTAACAGCGTTCAAATATCCTCCATCCGCGTTCAGCTTAACCCCTAAATAAACAAAGCTTTCCACTCTTTCAATACCATCACTCAACCCCGTCCTTGAGTCCGTCCTATTAATCACACCATGAACACATTTCTTACATTTGAACGTGCCTTCCACCTTTTTCAGTGCCCCCCTCACACCACTACATCTCTTATGCACCCATTTCTGACATCCTATACACAATACCGAGTTAGCCTTCACTCTCCTGTCACATACCCCACAGGGGTCTATTTTACTTATCACTCGCTCCCCACCTTCCCCACTTACCATTACCTTCGTCTTACCAATGTTAACTTTTAACCCTTTCTTTTCAATAACACTTTTCCATCTGTCAAATTTTAACTGCAATTCTTCCATGCTATCAGCCATCAAGACTAAATCATCTGCATACAAAATCTCAAATAACAACCCCTCCATTATGTTTCCACACACAACATCCATCACAATTGCAAACAGAAACGGTGATAACACTGATCCTTGATGCACTCCTACCTTAACACTAAAAGCGTCCGACATCCCCCTTCCAACCCTCACTTTTGTCTTTGCCTCTTCATACAGCTGCATCACATCTTTAACAAGTCTCTCATTCACTCCTTTCTTCCTCAACGCCCATTCAATGACCTTCCTCGGTACTCGATCAAAAGCCTTTTCTAGATCCACAAAACACATGTACAATCTTCGTTTCTTCTTTCTATAATTCTCCTGCAACATTCTCACCATGAACAACGCATCCACCGTTCCCCTACCAGGCATAAACCCACACTGCATTTCATTAACTGTCACCATACTTCTCAACCTCCTCTCAAGCACCCTCTCCACTACCTTCATTCTGTGCTCTAGCAATTTCACACCCCTATATGACCCACAATCTCTCACATCTCCTTTGCCCTTATACAACGGCACCAACACACTGTGTCGCCAATCCTCAGGTATACCTTCATCATCAAACATACTGTTAGCAATTCTCATCATAACTTCAATTCCTATCACCCCACTCGCTTTTACATGTTCTGCCGCCACTTCCGAAACCCCTGCCGCCTTACCTATTTTCTTTTCTCTAACTGCTTTCTCTACTTCCTCCAACGTCACCTTCTTTATAGGTCCTTGTGTGACCGCGGATTCCACATCTCCATCCCACTCATTCTCTTCATTCATCAACCTTTCCATATGAGCTTTCCACACCTGAGCTTTTTTTACAATAATTAATTAATTAATTAATTAATTTTTAATTAATTAATTAATTAATTTTTTTAAAATTCAGCAGGCCGGTTGAGAATCAGATGACAAAGGGTCTAGGGAAATAAATGATTGATCTTTTTTTTTATTTATACGTATTTTATTTGTAGTTTAGCTATAAATTCGTGGCGGTTTTTTGGTTTTTTGTGTTAAGTTTGCAATCAACAGTTATCTTCTATTGTAAAATTCAATCAAATTTGTTGACTTTTGTTTTTGCAATATTTTATTTTTTATCTAATTGTTTGTGGTATGCGTGTTTGTGTTTTCTGTGTATGTGTGTGGTGTGTGTTTGCTGATTCAATTTTGCTTTGTTGGGTTCTCAGCAACTACTTTCTACACGACCTGCGGACAGTAATAAAGCTTATGTTATCGTTTATTAATTTTATACTAAGAACAAAAATTCGAAAGAAAAATTTTCAGAAATTTTAACAGCTGGAGCTGAAATGACGTTGGTTTTTTTTTGTTGCCACTTTCTTTTTTTATTTTTAATTTATATTCAGTTACATCGTTCCTAGAAGAATGTGAACATTCAGATTTGCGCCATTGTTATGTTTCTACCAAGATATATAATCGGCAAAGATTAAATGTTTTGGATAGCTTATTTATTTTCAGGAGCATGCTGTGATTATCTTTTACTAAAAATAGTACTGACTTGAGACAAAAATTAGACTTGAGACAAGGGCTTTCTGACTCGGTCGCTTGTTTGGATGAATGAGTGTGCTCGGATGATATAAAATATAGGTAGCGCGGAGATCGCCATTCTTTCGCCTGGTCAGATATTGGGGTATCGCCTTGTTGTTTTCTTACCACATTTGTAGGCTTCACTTGAAAGAGAGTGAGTCATTGACGTCATAAGTTCATGCTGGAAATATTTAATTAATAGAGGGTTACCAGTGTTGTTACAATGAAGCAGATGATCTCTGGTCAAAGTTAGGTTCAACCAAAGTACTATAGTTCAATTCTTGTACGCAAATTCTACGCAGTGATATGATTCCTTCGCAGATTTTAACACATGCGGTTTTTAGTTTGCTGCTGCTTTCAAGGAAACCGTTAGTGTCGCGTAATTTTTTAAAAAAAGAAAAAATTCATCTATTTATCAAAAAATTTTATTTATTTTGTAAAATAACTACGACCATCTAGTTTTAGACACGAAACAAAAATATAAAACAATTATTTCATGAAACTATTCAACAAATTACAACACTAATAAAAGCGCGTACGTCGGCTTTGAATTAGTACCGGACTACAATGTCCCCATTGTGTATATATACACATATATGTATATATATATATATATGTGTGTGTGTGTGCGTATACATATACATATATACTCAACTCAAAAATGCAAGAATATGTATATAATATGTGATATTCAGATGCGAATTATTTAAGTGCTACTTATGCTTCGGACGTTGGATCATAGGTAAGAAGGTGTACGATTTGAAAGGATGAGAAATACATCTTCACTAAATTACCTCTCTCGTAACTCATGAGAAGAGCAAATGATTGGAAATTAAATAGTTGTTTGTAGTTATTTGGTGAAAAAAAAAATGAAAAATGGATACGCTAAAAAAAGTTGCGTCAAAAAATATATGATGGTCTGGTGCATATATCTAGTATGATAATGATGAAGTTGCACATACACGCACACACACATACACGCACACACACATACACGCACACACATTGTATAACCATAAATGTGGTTTTACGAATTGCATATTACATAGCTAAGTTACGATGATAAATTGAACAGATTATTATAAAGATCTAACAAATAATAGTGTAACAAAAGGGAATAAATTTATGTGTTCCATTTTGGTGATAAACACGCATATTTTAACACACATACAAACACGCACGCACACAAACAAACACACACATACATACATACGTTATATATATGTGAGTGTGTGTGTTGTGGTGTGTGTATGCGCGTGTGTAATTGTGTAAATGTGTAATTGTATTTTATATAAAAATTTGTATATATTGCAGTATATTCAAAGTGTTGTTCAGGCAACCACACCACACAACACGTTCGATGACCATAATGTATGCGAAGTATAGTTATAATGCACAAAACACAAAAAATTTTCTAAAAAATATAGTTTATGTGTGCATGTGCGTGTGTGTGTGACAGATCTTCGTATATATACAAAAAAAGAACTTATAAAAATATATATATATATATATAGTATATCTTAATTCTGCCTGCACGCAAAGTCAATTTAATTTCACCGGTACACTGATCAACAATAAAAATTTCAGATGAATATAAATAATAATAATGATGAAATCATATAATGATAGTAAGAGTATCATAAAATGATGCCAAGAGTATCATATAATGATAATATGAGTGCTATTACGTAATGATAATGAGATTATCATAATTTTGAGAGACCTCCATTAAAATGACGAAACCAGATCTAACGCTGCTGAAATATGAATAATAAAACAAAACATAAAATATATAAATAAATAAGAATACTAATAAACAAACAAAAAAACTGATAAATAATGTAGTATCATATGCATAATTCATACAAAATAATCTAGGGCGTAATATTTCTTGTTAGTGCAAACGGATAACATATCATTCGATATATTTTTTTTATGCGGAAACATGCTTACTTTCCTTTACCTATTTAGATTTTTTGTTATTTTCACTAATTTGCACGGACTGCAACAGCCTTTGGTATTCCTCTTTTCCGGTTTGCAGGGCCAACTTTGTGAAGAGGCTGTTCTTATCCTTTAACAAGGTGCCTGGACTGTCGAATTCCTTTATTTCTCCTTCGTCTAGTAGCTGTCAGTGTGTTTGAGTGTGTGTATGTGTGTGTTTGTGAGTGTGTGTTTGTGAGTGAGTGTTTGTGTGTAGTTATATATATTTTACTATTAAATACAAGAAAAAATAAATCAACGATAAAACATACAAGTGTGCGTACGTGTGTGTGAATGCGTGCGTGCGAATGTGTGGAAGATGGAAGTATGTATCGTAAAAATTTTTCTTCACCATTATACGGTCGTAATCGATGATAGTGTTGAGTCTGTGGGCTATGCAGAGGACAGTGCAATCCACGAACTCCTGTCTTAAGACCTTCTGGATGAAAGTGTCCGTCCTTTCGAATGAAAAAAATATAATAAATTGATAAAAGAGAAAAATAATTCAATATAAATTATCAATAAGTTAAAATATAGTGCAGTGGTGTAATGGTCAAGGTGCCTGGCACTTCTGTCGCGGTAACTGGATTCGAATTCAAATGGATTCCTGCCCACCACATGTGCGCGGTACGTTGATTCACTATTTTTTTTTCTACACACACCGCGCTTGTTGTTGATACCCCTGAGAAATACTGAGAAAAATTAAAAATAACTCGCAGCTAACAATTTGCCAACTAATTTCTAACGAAACGAACGAACGAACAAACGAACGAACCAACAAACCAACTAACGAACTAAATTTCTAAAAAAACTAAACATGCACATAAAATGAAAATAGAAAGGTAATAGAATAGGTAGTCGTACTCTCTGTCAACATTGGCAGTGGCCTCGTCAATGATGAGGATTTTGTTCTCTTCCAACAAGGCTCTTGCCAGACACAGAAGCTGTTGCTGACCGGCACTCAAATTATTCCCAGATTCATTGATCCAAAATTCCAAACCTTTCCCGGAACTTCTTACCATGTCGATCAGTTTGACCTGTTGTTGTTGTTGGTGGTGGTGGTGCTGTTGTTATTGTTGTTGTTGACGGTGTTGTTGTTGTTGACGGTGTTGTTGTTATTGTTGTTGGTGCTGTTGTTATTGTTGACGGTGTTGTTGTTGTTGACGGTGTTGTTGTTATTGTTGTTGTTGTTGGTGCTGTTGTTATTGTTGACGGTGTTTTTGTTGTTGGCGCTGGTGTTGCGAGGTTTAGTGTGGATTATTTATTTCAAATTGTAAAAAATGACGTTGAGAATATTTTTAAAAAATCGTAAACAGGGAAGAAAAGGATGGCCCAACCCTTTCTAGAACACTCCACATTTCGTGCTCCTTATGCTGATTCAATGGATTCAAATTTTTCCTCAACGTTCCTTGTAGGAGGATTGATTCCTGGGAGAGAAAAAAGGAAGATGATTGACGAATGAAAAAATAATCGGAAAGAAATTGAAAGTAAATGTGAATCATCATTTAACATTACCACCGTATAAGAGCGTGTGTTTGTGTGTGTGTGTGTGTGTGTGTGACAGTGTAGTACAGATAATTAATGATTACCTGTGGAATGATTGATATTTTTTGGCGAACTTGGAACAAGTCCAAATCCTGAATGTCAAGGTTATCGACGAGCACGCGACCCTCGTAACGGTACAAACGAAACATTATGTTCATCAAGGAACTCTTGCCTGCCCCTGTACGACCAACTATGCCCACCTGTGTGTGACGTCATTGATGACGTAATTGGCGAAGCGGAAGTTTCATTTTGAAGCAACAACTTGTCGTTATGTCGCAACGAAAAATTTTCTACAATGTACAACGTTGAAAAATTAAATTTGTTTGAAAATGTTTAAAAATGAATTATATCTTAGAATGAAATAAAATCCACCTTCTCGCCCGGTTTGATTTCAAAATTAAGTTTTTTCAAGATGTAAGGTGCATCGGTTTTGTACTTGAGACTGACGTCCCTGAACTTGACCTCTCCACGTTGAGGCCACTGAGAAATGAACGGGGTTGTCCTCTGGGGTCACTCTCAGATGTTCCAATTCCGGTTTGGATTTAGGTGAGGGAGAAGATTTGGCTTTTAACTTGGGGCTGGTCGGTGGTAGCGTGGTGGGTCCAGGGGCGCTGCCTGACGTCCTTTCGATGGGTAACTTGGAATATTGGATCATTCTCTCGACGCATGTCATCTAACAAAATAATAATAATAATAAATATTAGTAGTAGTATCAGTAGAAGAGTAGTAACAGCAGCAGCGGCAGTAGCAGCAGTTGCAGTAGTAGCTGAGCTGCAGCAGTAATAGTAGTAGCAGTAACAAAAATTGGCGAATAACTTAAGTTTCGAGCCAGCAAGTACATCTTAGAAAATTCCTAAAACTCCTAAACAACACTAAGAAGAAGGCTATTTCAAATTAAAGCGACATATAAAACGACAGAGGACGAAAATTTGGTTTAAATAAGATAAAAAAAATATCCAAACAAGACTAACAAATCTGTCCAAAAATTTATAATAAAAGTAGAAAATTTTCTGACCAAGCTCTCTAGCTCCGTGCTCTGTCTGACCACCCACTGAAACAGCCAGAGCAACGTGATCACGTAACTCAAACTCAACCCAACTGTGGCGCCGTTCATGGCTGCAGGCAAATATTAATTATTTCTTATTGTCTATAATTAATAATTATTTCTTATTATCTATAATTAATAATTATATCTTATTATCTATAATTAATAATTATTTCTTATTATCTATAATTAATAATTATTTCTTATTATCTATAATTAATAGTTATTTCTTATGATTTATAATTAATAATTATTTCTTTTTATTTATATTTGTTAATTAATAAACGTTGAACAAATGCTATAACGAAAAATGTTACCCAATCACAAAACAGATAAACAAACAAACAAACAAACAAACAAACAAACAAACAAACAAACAAACAAACAAACAAACAAACAAACAAACAAACAAACAAACAAACAAACAAACAAACAAACAAACAAACAAACAAACAAACAAACAAACAAACAAACAAACAAACAAACAAACAAACAAACAAACAAACAAACAAACAAACAAACAAACAAACAAACAAACAAACAAACAAACAAACAAACAAACAAACAAACAAACAAACAAACAAACAATATTAATAAAAACAGAAAGAAACATGGTAAAAAAAACTCAAAATCTCCAAAAATACGCCTCAAAAATACGCCTAAAAAAATAATAAAAAAAAAAATCGAACTTTGAGCAGCGAAGACGGCGGCGAAGGTAACGACACAGATGAGGCCAGTGCAGAGCCACTCCAACCTGACGGCCAGCCACCTGCCCAGGTATAGGTACAGGGAAAAAGCGGCTGAGTGATCATCTTGAAGGTCGTGAAATTCCCGATTGAAGAGGGCCTCGACTTTGTGGGACCTGATGGTGTGGATGCCCAGGAACGTGGCGTTGATGTGCGAGAAGACGGGCCCTTTCACTGGTACGGTGTTTGTTGGTGTTTCTACTGTTAAAGTTGTACTTCTACTTTTTCAAAAGATGAAAATCTCGACGGATTTTCATTTTATACGAGTTTCAACTGCATTGTTTTAATCTTGGCACTCACTTGAATTTTTCGAAACATTTTGTAGATCTTATAAAATAAATTATTTTTTTAACATAAATTTCCATGATGTCTGTTCACTCTACTTAAAATCTAGCAAATACTATTTTTTCTCTTAAATTCAGTTGCATGTAAATCTTTCAATAAAACATCGCCTGGTAAGAAATACTTTTAAACGATGCAGCGATTTTGAAAGCGAAAACATTAACGGGCGATTGTTGTTATTAAACATCACGTAAACAACAACGCGCCATTAAAATTTTAATGACTGAACTGTTATAACCAATTTATAAAATTTTTAAAAATGACGTGCAAGAACATTCGAAGACGAATCAGTAACAACGAGTAGGGAGGTAGTAACGAATAAATGCTTCGTGCAATCACTTAGATGTTTGTTTCATTCGTTGTCGATAACTCAGAAGGAACTGTCAAAAAATTATTTTTGCCGCTCAATATTTACGACTGACTCGTACTAGCACTGCACATGGCAAAAATTTTTTCAAAAAAGCAAAAAAAATTTTCAGCTCTTTGTAGGTATGAAAAGCTTTTAAATGGCAACTAATTTACAACTCATAAATCTGTTACACACACGCACGCACACACACACGCACACACACACACACACACATAAACACATAGAACAAATGAGCATACATATTGACTCCAATCTCTTGACATTTCTGAAGGCGGTTATGAAGTAACGTCTGAGTAGGCCGAAGATGAAGAACATGATGATGATGGCTATGAAGACCCAAGGGTTGAAGACAGTGATGACGATGAAGATACCCAGCAAGAGGCAGAGGTTCTGGTGAGTAAAGTGGTGACGATGACGTCAATGATGACGTCAACGGTGACGACGGTGATGATGGCGACGTTTGTAACTGTGACGGTGATAATGATGATGAATGAATGAAATATAAAACATGGTAATGACGATTCTAACAAAGACCTATAATCCATCCATCCCTCCATTCATCCATTCATTGATGATGAAAGTGATGATATAATGGTAATGATAACGATGATGACGACGATGACAATGATGAACATGATATAGGTAAAAAATCGAACTATAAATGACACAAACTTTTAACTTAATACTGAAATTAACAACTCCTAACAATGTTATTTATTAGACTCAGTGACAATACAGCTTCAAATACTCACCATTGTTTTGTTACAAGCCAAAATAAAATTTTTTTTCCGTTCTATAAATCAAACATGAATAAATTTTTAACCCAAATGTCAATAAATCTACAGAATAAAAATGTTTCTTATAACACGATTAGGGAAGCAGAGTAGCGAATGATGAATGAATTTAACTAAAATTAAAAAAAAACACAGTAGGATAAAATTATTTGGTTGTACGTTTTATAATATAATATAAGATCCAGTGTATGATTATGAAAGCTTATGCAACTCTAAAAAGTTGAGAAATTGTTTGTTTATCACTTCGATATTGAAATAGTTATTCGCAATTAACTGAAAATTAACATAATAAAAAAAACTACGATTAATAACAGTGAAGCGTTATTAACTGAAAGTTAATAAAAATATATAATATATAATATAATATTATTAAATAATAGCAAAACTCAAACAAGCCATAATGCAAAGTTTAATATACCAGGTCAAGTTAGAACTAACAATAATAATCATAAGAAGGAAAATATAATAAAAAATAATAAAAAGACGAAAAATAAGAAACCTATTACCGAAAATACGAAAAAACTATACAAAAAAATACAAAATACAAATAAAAAATACAAAATACAAAAAAACGGTTTTGACTTTGACCGAGATAAAAATGGCAATGACAAACATGAAAATTTAGTTGAATTTAGGCGAAAAAAGATGAAAAAAACCTGGACGATGTCATAAAAGACGAGCGGGAAGGATTCATCTACTTGGCCGAGGTCTTTCGAAAATCTGTTTAAAATTCTTCCTGACGATGTTAATGATAACGATGTTGATGATAACGATGGTGATGATGGTAATGATGATGATGACGACGACGACGACGATGATGGTATTGATGGTGATAATGAAAATGTTTGTGACGATCTGGATGTCATTTTTAATGAAAAGATTGATAGCCAACGACGGCAACATTACAAACAGCATATATCATGAGAAAAATATCATCATCAACAACAACAACAAAAACAAGAAAAATTCACAAAAAATAATGAAAAAATTGAAAAAATCAACAAAAGTCTTTAAAAAAAACAGACTCATAAAAAAAACTCGAACCAACCGGTTGGATTGGTGTCAAAAAATGTAACGGGCGACCGAATAATGGAATGTAACATATCTCTATGTACATTGTGACTGGAGTAAAGGAACATGTGGAACGAGAACCAAGCCCTTATGAGACCCACAACGGCCACAAGCAACGTCAAAATTCCAAATATTAACAAGTGGAAATGGTGTTCCGGGAACTTCAGTGGCTCCGTATTGAATGTCGTCGTTGTGGTTGTAGTGTTGCTGTAGACTGTGTCGTAGATGTTGTTGTTTTTGTGGTCGTTGTCGTTGGTGGCGGGTGTGGTAACTGTCGTGGCGTAGATTTGGTGGAGTGTGGAGTAAAAGTGCTCCACTTTGTTGCACCTATATGAGTAATTTGCATATAATGCCAGAATTAATTCACTAATTCATAAATGAAGTACTTGAGTTATTATATAATTTGTTAAAAAATTCTATGCTGTGTTTACTTTTGAGTTAATAAATAAATGAACGAATCTATAGAAGAAGTTTCGCAGAGTTTGAATAATAGTCGTATCTAAGGAAACTTACAATAACAATTTCACGTTAAACAAATACCGTACGTCCAAAATTGGTATGTACAACCAAATTTATAAAAATCATTTGAAACTAAAGAAGTATAATACAGAAAAAAAAGGTAAAAGTAATAAAAAGATACAAATACAAATTAATACAAACGAATAAACAAACAAACATAAACACAAAATACAAACAAAAGATACAATCAAATACAAACACCAAACACAAACAAAAGATACAATCAAATACAAACACCAAACACAAACAAAAGATACAATCAAAAACAAACACCAAACACAAACAAAAGATACAATCAAAAACAAACACTAAACACAAACAAAAGATACAATCAAATACAAACACCAACCACAAACAAAAGATACAATCAAAAACAAACACCGAACACAAACAAAAGATACAATCAGATACAAACCAATGGACCAGCCACCAATCAGTGATGAGGAAGAAGAATTGGGCCAAAACATTCAAAAGGCATAAGATGAATATGCCGCAGTTTCCTGTACCGGCTCTTGTATATTCCAGGTACAGACTGGCGGGTATTGTTTTCCCTGAGTACATTTCCTCGTTTTGTTCTACGTTTTGTTCAGTTTGCTGGCTTTTGGCATGGAATTTCTCGAATTTTATCTGTTTGGTGAGATTGTGTTATTTTTTCTACGTAGAATGAAGTTCAGTTGGAAAGTTTAAAGTTTCTCATTTGAGAATCAACGTGTTTCTCAAATAGAGATTTTTGGTGTTACAACAACTTAACGACACATTGCAACTCACTCAGAAGTACAAGACCGACAAAACATAAAAACACAAAAAACAATACATGACACACACACACATGCACACATACGCACACACGCACGCACGCACACACACACAAACGCACACTCACACACGCACACATACGCACACACGCACGCACACACCATACCATAGGCAACATTTCTTGCGCCAACAATTTAGAATCCTTCCTGGACCCCCTCTTACTCCCCATCGCAGGGTCTCCACCAACACTTCCGGCAAGTGACGGAATCGAACCGAGTGACTGCGATTCTACGTTGAATCTGACGTCACCGTCAACAGCATCTATGTACAGGAGGCTGTTCAGTGACGACATCAAGGGATTTTTAAATTTCGACAGCGTTGGAATTTCAACAGCGGGAGCGGAAATGGAATCTTTCTCGTCTGATTGGTCAATTTCTGTGGTCAGAACTTTGTGAAAGTCTACTCCGAGACTGACCAACTCGTCGTAACTGCCACACATGTGATTTTGGTCCTGCATATATTTCGTTACTCATTTTTTTTTACAATTTTCACTTTAATATTTTTCAGAAGTATCAACAACAAACACAGAGTGCAATCAACTCATCACACACACACACACACACACACACACACACACACACACACACAGACACACACACACGCAGACACACACACATTATATGTGATAGCTGAAGCTCTCTTGGCATTCAAATCCAATCCGCGCAACATCAGTTCCAGACATCTTAGCCACTTAACCAATTTTATACTATTATTAATCAACAAAGCGAACCTTATCAACGAGTAGAATTTTCGTTGCCATGGTAAGGTATTGGATCTGATGAGTTACTAAAATACGAAGCTTGTTAGACAGAAGACCGTTAATGCATCTGAAAAATGAATGATTGATTGAATGAATGAATAGAATGAATGAATGGATGAATGAATGAACGAATAAATGAATGAATGGATGAATGAATGAATGAATGAATGATGAATGAGTGAATGGAATTATAAAAAAAACTCTTTGTATCCTAACTAACTCGTTGAATATGTGCTGACTGACATTGGCATCAACGGCACTCAAAGGGTCGTCAAATAAAAATATATCGGCCCCGCTGTACACGGCTCTTGCCAGGTTCACCCTTGCCCTCTGACCTCCACTCAAGGTCGCACCACGATCGCCTATGTGGGTGAGGTCACCTTGAGGCATGTCGGCTAAGTCCTGTTTACGAAATTATAAAATGATTTTTTCGATCTAAAATTTTTCAAATAAGAAAGGTAACAGAATTTTCTTTGTGTGTTTTCGCTGATTATGTGCGTCAACAGATTTGTTCAACTATTTAAAAATATTAATTCTTTAAAAACATCGCCATACACATGATAGGTTGGGCTGCCTTCGAATTCGAATACGGTCGCTGCAACGCAGAGACCAGGCGTCTCTAACAGTTACGCTATCCGGAACTGCAATAAAAAAAACCCCTACCTCTTTCAAACCACAACACTTGAGGACAGTTTCGTAATAACTTTCTTCGAATGGGTAGCCCAGCAGAATGTTGCGTCTGATGGACGAGCTGAAAATCCAGGTTTGTTGAGAGGCGTAGGCCAGTTTGCCGCGGATTTCCAGGTGTCCGGTCAGGATTGGGAGCTCTTTGAGGATCATCATCAGGAGGGATGTCTGGTGGTGATGATAGTAGTGTGGCGATGATAATGATGGTGTGGTGATGATAAAGATGACGGTGGCGATTAAAATGGTGATGTTGATAGGTGATGATAAAATTGATGAAGATAATGGCGATGACACTCGACGGCACTTCTCAGAATTTCGGAACGATAGAAAATGACTTAATGATTGGTGAAAAATGATGTTGGAAGACGAAATGGAATCTCCAGAAGAAAACGAAACGAGACGACCCACCTTTCCAGATCCCACACTCCCAACAACCATCAGGAGATCATCGCCCCGGACACAGAACGACAAATTCCTCAAAATTGGGACCTTCGACTGTAAATAAAATCCAACGCCACATAAGATGCTATTATATGTTATACATAAGTCTTTCAAATCTCGATATTCGGGATTAATCCATTTCAATTCATTTCATCAATTCTTTCATTTCAATCATCCATTTTAATCATCAATTCATTCATTTCATTCATTAATTCATCCATTTTGATCATCAATTCATTCATCCATTTCAACCCTCAATTCATTCATTTCAATCATCAACTCATTCATTTCAAGTCTTCCATAAGCTCCAGAAGGGTACTAGAATTTATCCAAAAATTTTTACATACCACAATAAATACCAAAAAAAAAAATACGTAATCAACATTAGGTCACAGTCGACTAAATAAAATTAAATCTTAACAAACAGCAACTACAACTGCTAACTCTATCCGAAGTCAGTGAAGCATTTTTGACGCTAACGAAAAAGTCATGGTTATTTTTCGAGTCGACGTCGCCAATGCCGCTACTACTGCCGCCACAACGTTTAGCATCACCATCGGCGTCCCCATTTCTGTTTTCTAGTTTAGGACCATTCAGCGAAGATTTTTTCTTTTTAATAGGACTGCCATCTGACGACAGATTATTCTCCTCAGTTGATGTAGATTTTTCAGGAAGCAATAAGAATTCCTAAAAAAAAAAGATTTTTTATTCCAAATTTAAATATATTCATTTAAAATACAAAAACAAGCATGTATGTATGTTTGTGTATGTTTGTGTGTTGTGCAAGACAATGTGTGCTGTGTATGCTCCTATGGACATAAAGTAAGATTTTTGTAAGAAAAAAATTCTTGTTTGTGTGGTTATTGTAACGACACCTGCACGGTGGGTTGCTCACATTTCTCCTTGAAAGTATATTTTTGCTTGATTGTTTAATTTTAAAACGTATGTGTGTGCGTATGCGTGTGAATGTGTGTGTGTGAGTGTGTGTATATGTGTATGTGTGTGTGTGTGCGTGTGTGTGTATATGTGTGTATCGTAAATGACGATCGTAGAAAAAGTCCCGAACAATCCTTTTGCGACATCTGCCATTCCTAACGTCCAACCAACTAACTTTTAAAAATTAAAAAATTGATCACAGATCTTCATCGATCCATCTGACATAAAGAGCTACTTCGAAGGATAGCCCTTTGCCCCGCGTGTTTTTACTACCCCCCCTCTCTCTAAACAATTCAAGACGGGACTAAACAAATATTCTTGCCTCTCCCTGGATGTGTAGTGCAAATTATAAAACCTGTTAATGATTGTTTAACAGCTCTCTCCAGATAAACGTGACTTTCGCATTCTGGTTTGCTAACTTTTGTCAAATTAAAAATTGAAATTGATGAATTCGATGATTTAAAAAATACAGATGCACTGATAAAAAGGAGATTTTTATAGCAGTTCAGTTACAAACAAACCTCGTCCCCAAAATTTTATTTCAAGTCGTAGGTCTATTTTGATAGATATCATTATGAATTGGATACATGATAGAGAATGATGACATCACATTTAATTATATATCACCTCAAATGATTGTCATTTACATGGCCCCGACGTGTAGTTAATGACCGAGTAAACATCACACATGAACACATGTTCATTCAATCGACCATTAGTTGTTTATTGATAATTCATTAAAAATAGGATTTCAATTTTATCATCTTCATCATCATTCCAATCCTAGAAATTATTCCAAACTTTAAACTATCATCCAAATCTTTACCAAAAATTATCCCAATCTTTACCAAAATTACCATAATCTTTAACTTTTTTTCTATCAACACCATCATCATCATAATCACAAACATCCTCATCATCTTATTAAATACCCTCATCATCTACAAAATCATCATCTTCCTAATCATCATCTTCCTAATCATCACCTTCCTAATCATCATCTTCCTAATCATCATCTTCCTAATCATCATCTTCCTAATCATCACCTTCCTAATCATCACCTTCCTAATCATCATCTTCCTAATCATCATTTTCCTAATCATTATTTTCCTAATCATCATCTTCCTAATCATCATCTTCCTAATCATCATCTTCCTAATCATCACCTTCCTAATCATCATCTTCCTAATCATCACCTTCCTAATCATCATCTTCCTAATCATCATCATCCTAATCATCACCTTCCTAATCATCATCTTCCTAATCATCACCTTCCTAATCATCATCTTCCTAATCACCTGCAATCTCTTGACGGCAATCATGGACTCTGCTCCGAAGTGCATCGCTATGGGAAAACCCATGGTCATCGTGAATCTGACCGGGTGGTACAAACTCATCGTGACGAAAACCATTTCCGCTGTGACGTCATTGCCTAACAGGATGTAAGTTAGGATGGTGGCGAATAGTACGAGTTTACCTGAGTAGAATAAGGAGGATATCGTAGTGGCTCTAGCGTAGCCGGCTCGCACCAGCTGCTTGAACTCTAAACTGGAATTTGGAAATATTTTGGAAAACAAATTTTTACTGATTCGCTGTTAATAAAAAAATCTTGATATTTAAATTTCAACTCCATTTCAACTCGCTCCATCAATTTCAATCATCAGTTCATCCATTTCAGCCACCAATCCATCCATTTCAACTACCAATCCATTTCAGTTACAAATCCAAAATCTTCTGACCCACCATCTAGTGTTCATGATGGTTCTCTCAAAGAAGTCTTCCCAGCAGGACATCTTGATCAGTCGTATGCCGTGCAGCAGTTCATTCATTTGAGACAACCTTTGGTCAGTAAGCTTTGATATCTGCAATCTATTGGTCAGTATTTCATTCATTCATTTATTCGTTAGTTCGTTCGTACATGAAGTGTACGTACAATTCAATACATGATGTTGAAAAAATCAAAAATTGTTTATACGACATAAAAAGCCCATTACATTAAATATAGTTTATCTGCCTTTATATATCACCTAAAAATATTAACTGCAACATAGACAGTGCAACACATGTGACGTAAATACGTTTGAAAACAGCTCTGTATAGTATAGTGCATACATTCGTGCATTTGATTGGCAGATGGGATTCTATTTGAAATCGAACCCAGTAACTGCAAGAGAGTATCTCAAGCGTTTGTATCATAACGCCGTCTTACCACACCACAGAATGATGTTGATGCCAAAAGGAAAAGAACTTCAAAACTTATCTTTGAAAAAGTTTTAAATCTGTAAAATGTGAAAACGGATGAAGAACAAACTGCCATTTGAAGAAAAAGAGCAGAGAAAAATATAAAGGGCACAAAATGACAGCCCCTTATAAAATATGAACAACACAGGTGATATCAACCAAACAACATCATCATTATCATCATCATCAACAACAAAAACAACAACAACAACATAATCATCAACAACAACATCATCATCATCAACAACAACAACAACAACAACAACAACATCATCAACAACAACAACAACATCAACAACAACAACATTATCAACAACAACAATAGCAGCAGACTGACCTCAGCCTAGCAAAGAGTTTAGCAAAACAGCCCGTGACGGGAATGACCAGGACCAGAGTGACCATCCCGGCCACACCACCCCAATCGATGTAGAACCAGAGAATGATGCCCACTGCAATCACCTCCAGCGGGCCGAACACTATGTAGCATATTATACCAGCCGTCTGTTTGTTTGTTGGTTTGTTTGTTGGTTTGTTTGTTGGGTTGTTTGTTTGTTTGTTGGCTGGTTTGTTTGTTGGTTGGTTTGTTTTTTTGATTGATTAATTGTTTGTTTGTTTTGTTGGTCTGATTGATTGAAAAATTGTTTGATTGATCGTTTGTTGGTTGGTTTGTTTGATCGGTTGATTGTTTCAGTCAAACAATACAGGCATAAAATGTTTATGTAATTAGCGTAATGTGGAATGATAGAAGTGTGTGTGTGTGTGTGTGTGAAAAAGGAAAGAGAGAAAGAGAAAGAGAGAGAGAGAGAAAGAGAGAGAGAGAGAGAGAGAGAGAGAGAGAGAGAGAGAAAGGAAGAGCGAGAAAAAGAGATAGGATGTATATATTACAATTGATTGTATTATATTATTAACATTTGTGTTTATTCAGTGTTCATTGACTTATATTGATTAGTTTTTCGAGGTTAATGAGCAATAAATATGCATTTTATTGCATGTGTATATGTGTAAATATGTATACAAACACGCACACGCACACACACACACACACACACACACAAATTACGAATCAAGTTTATTTCCATTGATTGGTATTGATTCGAATTTATAGGTTAATGAACGTACAGTTATGCCTTTTAGTGTATATATATATACACAACACACACACCCATACAATGTACGCACACCACAAGCACACGCACATATACATACACACACATACACACATGTGTGTGTACTACATAGTTGCTACTATATACTTATGATGTGTTACGTTTATTTGTAATGTGTCAATCAACGATCGTGACGAACCTTAAAAGTAAAGATTGATAGAGGAATGATCTTAGAAAATACAACAACAACAACACAACAACAACAACACAACAACAACAACAACGATGACGATGATGACGACGACGACGACAACAGAAGCAAAAACAGCAATAATAATAATAATTATTATTATTTATTAATTAATTAATTAATTATTATTATATTTAATAATACTAAACATTTAATTCTAAAAATTTAAAATGACCATGTCAAATCTCTGGACGTCATTGGACATCAAGTTGACCATCTGACCAGTCGTCGTCTTTCCCAAAGAACTTGTACTTAGTTTCAATGACTGAAAAGTTTTTTTTATAACTTTTTGTATTTTTTTGTGTTTTTTCAATTATTAACAAGCATAAAATCTGGTTTAAAAATTTAACAATTACATTTATATCTTTCGGTACAGTTTTAAATAGTCTTTTTCTTTCAGAAATTCATTCATTTTAATTAGATCATGTCATGCCATTTAGCTGTCTCTTTGGTGGATGGTTCAGCTTCCTACAATGTCTGTGTGGTACTTTATAGGTTGGTTCCTAGCAGTTCAATCACAATGATATTTAACTAACTAATCTTAAGAATTCCAATTTCTTTGGATTTAATGAAATTTTCAAGAATTTTACAGGAGGTTAATCATCACGCGCATTCAAATGTTGTCTGTTTATTGCTATGATGGTACTTTTTGGCTCCTAAAAAGTTCTAATATTCATCTAACGAATTCCTCAGACATGTCTACGTTAAAAGAAAATATTTATGTTTACCCTACCTAGAAAAGATAAATTATCAACGAAAATTAAAAAAATTATTATCGAAAATGGAACAACGGCCATAGATAGCATCGACAAAAAAATTGGTAATACAACGAAACAGATATATTGATACAAAAATCATCAGTGCAATGGTTAGATGGTTGAGGTTCCTGCAATTGCTCTTGCAGACAGCCGGTTCAACTGCAAAGAGATCTTCGTCTTTAACATGCACTGTGCGTGATGCCTTGACTCAGTTATACTTGCACACACTCTGTGCTTGCCGTTTGTTGCTACCTCGAAAAATATATACTAAAAAAAAAAAAACGTAAAAAAAAACGTTAAGCCACAAACTTTTTTATAAACCATACCACAGCAAGCGAGCCTCAGTCGCATGCCGGTACTGAACATGGCCAGAAAGACTGGATGGTGGATAATTGTGGGAGCCATAGTGCACAAGGAAACGCCCAGTGCATACATGTACGTCTCGAAATTCGAAATGGTAGATGTTGCAGATGTTGAGTGGGGTTTGTTGAATGTTGCGTTGCCGAAGGTGGTAAAGTTGTCAACATTGTTGAAGTTGTCGTTGTTGTTGTTGTATGCGTTCATGGTGAAACATCGAATCAGCCGGCCAATAAGAATTGGTTGTACTATCTTTATGATTTCCTGGCATCGTGTGTGTTCGTGTACATCTTAATTTATGTACAATTAATCAAATCAAAATATCAGAAATAATGTTATTTAAACTACGCATTTAAAGAATCTAAATACAAGCATATTTTAACTTATTGTCCAGAAAATGGTTTAGAAGCTTGTAGAAATTACCATTCATCATATTCATTTTATTACTTTATGACATGGGTAGGGTGGATCATGATACAAACACGCACACACACGTACGCACACACACGCACGCACATGCACACAACACACACACACACACATCAAACAAGTTATAACATTGAGTTAATAAATTTTCAATATTATCATAAAGCATAAATATCAAATTACTCCAAACCATGCAAACTCAGCTTAATTGAGCAAGTTGTACTTTGGCGTTCCTCCTTGAGGGTTGAATGATGTTAAACACGCACACAACAACATGCGTGCTAATTAAAATGTGTACTAAAATCAACCCATCTTTGAACCAGGTTATAACAATTAACAATTTAATGTGTCGTTGTTCGAATCATGATTATCAAATTATCAAATAAATTCTTGAGTTACTCATTACGCTATTAACAAATTGATTGAGCCGATAAATTTATGGTATATTTACTTTGTTAAAATCCGTTTAGCTGTAAATTATTTTTTATTAATAATTTTTAAAAAGGCAAAAAAATTATTGATCTGTGGTTGTCACTTTTGTTTTTTGGTGAAGCAGTAGTATTATTGGTAGTAGTAGCAGCAGTAGTAGCAGCAGCTACAGCAGTGGTCAGTAGTGATCAGATGGAGAAACAACACAACTACAAGACGGCGATCTACATAGTCACAGCATTTCAACAAACGAATATTAACACAAAAATAAGAACCTTCTATCAAAATATACACTTAAACGACGTAAAGATAAAATTGAGACTTCTAAACATTCCAAACTGACTACCTCTATGAGGAAGACAAGACACCATGCAAACATGTAGGGGCCATATGTCCAGAATATTGCTTTTAACAAAGAAGGCTTTGGACTTTTCAGCTGTTTATTCCATTGCCTGTAAGAAGGATTAAGATGAATTGTTTTATTTATTTAAAATTTAATCATTTTTATTCAATTGCTGATATCTACATGATATCTATGTTTTTCTTCTTTTACAATTTTTTTTTCAGTATCTCCCAGAGGTATCAACAACACACAGGACATGCAAATAAAATGTGTGAACCAATATATCACACACACATTGCGCGTGATACTAGGGAGGGTTCATTGCTCATTGCTTTCAAATTTGGTCACTACAACTGATGTGCAATGCACATACACCATCTCAAATACATAGTTGAAATGGTGAGAAATTAATTTTAGTTTAAGCTGAAGAAAGTGATCAAACCTCTCAAGATTGTCACATAAAAGTTGAGACGAATCCTCTTTTAGAACGGTGTACAAATCACTTTCAGCTAACTTTTGCTTCCTGCCTTTCTTTATGAAATCATTCAACCAACTGAAAAAGTTTTAATGCATTAACGTTATTTCTTGATTTTATCTTGGAATCAGTTTAATTCTATTATTCTAATTATTCTAATTATTATTATTATTATTATATAGTTCTACTTGCATTTGTTCGCATGTATCAAACTTATAAAACCATTTTATAATAAAAAAATTGTTTTAAAAATTAAATAAAATTTTCACACATACCAGTAAAATAGCCTGGATATAGGATTGGCCTTTAGGTATGGATGCCTAGCTTTAATTTTTATATTTTCATTCATTTCTAAATAATTACAAATACTTATTAACTAATAAATTAATTGATTAATTAAATACTATTAGTTTATCTTAGTAAAATCCTAAAATATTAATATAATTAATTATTGATCACTAAAATTCTGCAATTTTCATAACACTTTTTTTAGCAGTAGTCATAAAAATTCAGACAGCAGACGGAACAAAAACTTATTTTTATGGTTTTTATCTTAAAATGACATTCAGCAAATATAATTATTATTCTAATTTTAAAAAGAAGCCAGCATCATTAATATAATTATCAATATTTTTTTTTAATTTAAAATATTATTTCATAAAATTTTAATTTGCAGCCATATTAAAAAAAAGCAGACAAAATTTATCACTTTAGGATACTGTTATTGATCGATCCAATCAATCAAACACAGCTCTTAATTTATTTTATATATATATAGACCCCAGACACAAACATTTGTACATATGTGACATTACATAAATGCATACAAACATACATACATTACATATATAAACACACCACTTACACACATATAGTATATACATATGTACATACTTAAGGCCTAACATAACATACAACAATACACACACCCATACATATATATATATGTAAATATATATGTATATATATATATATAATGTATATAATGTATATATATATATATAACGTACAACGATAAACAATAAACATTCAGTCAGTCACAGGCTTTGCTGTGTTTTTGTTTTCGTACAGGTGCTAACCATTCACAGTTCACTTTTAATCATTTTCACCTGAACAACAAATGATTTTTGCATTCATTGTTTGTTGCATTCTTTGTGGTATTATTTATTAATTGTTAATTATAAATTAATTCTATTATATGGGATTTTTTCAGACAAGAGAGTAGTAATAAATATTCACATTTTTAAACAAAATGTCAAAATTTTTGTTTTTTTGAAAAATTTATAGACCTAATTTTTACCATTGCAAAATGGCTTCGTTTTGTGGTATAATATATTACAGCTAGCAGATGTTTAACGCAAAGGCAAATTTTAATTGCAATTTTTGCCATTAATGATTATATTCTTAAAACTTTTTTTATTTTCAGTAGATCAAAGACGAAAAACTTAAGCCGTTCATTTTCAGCTAGCAAAAGTGTTCATTCAACCACGTCCTACCTATCTGTCGAACCACATCATAATTGATCGTTATGAAGCTGTTTGATTTTTCGCGAGGACTCATTTGATTGAAGCACATAGGTCGATATCAAAAAGTCATTCATCTTCTGAAAAAGCAACTTTTTTTGGCTAAACTTTCGCGCATTTCTCCATCAAATTACTCACTGTTTCGCCTTTATTCATAAGTTTCAAATTTGTTAAAGAACGCCAATCAGTTCGACGCACAGCAAACATAGAACGTTGATGTTAAATCATATGATAGATGGTACCTAATTGTACCTAGAAAATGGTACCTAAGTATCTTTTTAAATTTCTACAGGTACTCCTTGTAGAACTTCAAAAAGGACGGAGTCGTGGAGGGCACTAGAATTGTTGTGCCATTGGGTCGACCACAGTTAGAAATATCTCCATAAAAAGCCAAATCACTAAATTTCATCGCAATGTGTGCCTCTCCTTTGGAGATGAGAATTTTGAAATAAATTTGAATGTACAGTTGAAACTATTTAGTTGCAATTATTTCCATAGATGTCAGTCTAAGTCCAAATGATAAGGTGCAATCCGGTATTTACCATTTGATGATTGTGAAGAGAAAAGTTGTAAAAAACTGTGTAGTCAAGTGATAGCCAATGTATTAAAAATATTGAGAAATTTTTGTAGGATGAAAACAGTTTTACTTATTATTTTAAACATATTCAGATGTGAAAATAGATTAATTGAATGTTTGTTTGTGTGTTTCGTTATGTTTGCGCGTGTCTATTTGTGTCTGTATGGTGTTAGTGTGTACTTTCATGTCTGTTTCGATCTAGGTATATGTGTTTTTATGAATAAGTTTATGTGTGTGTGTTTGTATGTAAGTACGTAGGTGTGTGTAGTTGTGTGTTTATGTGTGTGTGCGCGTGTGTGTGTATTTGTGTGTGTGAAGAATAACAACAAGTGTAATAACAACAACGATATGTGTTAAACATCTGGTGATCTCATCAGCTCGACAAACAGTCTTAACTTATGAAAATTCAATTCAAAAACTATTTCGCCATCTCCATGAGTCTCTACTTGGTTCTTTCAAAAATCATCCTTTTTATTTTTTAACATCTTTGGAATTTAAACTCGTTCTAACTTTCTTACTAGAAGTTCATCGAACGAACGTACGAGTAAAAAATGTTTACACACAAACACAAACATATATATAAACACACGCACACACACACACATACACGCACACACATACATACACGCAAACACACACACATACACGCACACGCACACATACACGCACACGTGTGCGTAATATGAAGAACATTCCGTATAAACCCATGTTTTAGACGATCTACTAAATATGCGTTTGTAAGTCTTCTCTATCCACAACAACATCAACGACGAAGATGTTTTGACGAATTAAATTTTAATTGCGTGCACACATCTTTAGTATGTTATTTAAATTTTATTTCGTCTTATTTCAATTGGTATGTATATATGCTGTTTAATCCAGCAGACAACTGTAATCTGTTGTAAAATGAAAATATTGACAGATGAATTTTTAAAAAATAACCGCTTATAAGTATTCTTTAAATATTTTTATAAACTGATAACTTTAGCCTTGCAAAAATCTCAAACATTTATAACCCAAGTAAGAAGTTAAGGACATAAAATTGATTTTTGTTTCTTGTGCGGTTAAAAAAAAACATGAGAATTAAAATAAGTATGACGTGTTGGCTGTTCTTGATGCTGTCGAACGCCATGCTATCTCGTGAAGTTCAAGGGATGACTGATTTGTTGGGCGTCGAAGAAAATGAGGTAGTTATTAATTATATTATCTACAATTATATTTATTATTATATGTATTACATTATTTATTATGTTATAATTACATTATTTATTATGTTATAATTACATTATTTATTATGTTATAATTATATTATTTATTTTATCATCAATAATTCTTTTCATGATTATTGTTTTTTTCGATAATATTATTGTATCAATTCTGTAAAGTCCGAAATTTGTACGGGTTATAATTTACACATCCAATCACACTAATCACATATAATTACATATAATCACATTTAATCACACATAATAAGGTATAACCACATATAATAACATATAATCACATTTAATCACATATAATTACATCTAATCACATATAACCACATATAATAACATATAATAACATATAATCACATCTAATAACATATAATCACATTTAATCACATATAACCACATATAATAACATATAATAACATATAATCACATCTAATAACATATAATCACATTTAATCACATATAATCACATTTAATCACATATAACCACATATAATCACATATAATCACGTATAATCACATATAATCACATCTAATCACAAATAATTACATATAATCACATCTAATCACATATAATCACATATAATCACATATAATTACACATAATCACATCAATGCAACAGCAATTTTGGCGGCGGAAAATATTCTACAACCAGCCATCCTTCAAGATGCTGAAACGTCAGCTAATTTATTCATCCGCCAACAGCAAAGATGGTGGTGGTCTCATTCAGTCCATCCATATGGTGTTCAGTTCGGACAAACAGATCGATGTCAGATGGTTCCGAAGCGAGAGTACTAATAGTAAATTGTTGCATTCCGAGGTTCCTGAGATGATTCCGTTAGAAGGTTGTCGATTGGTTGGATGGTTGATTGATTGGTTGATTGATTTATTGGATGATTGATTTGTTGATTGGTTGACCGATTGGTTGATTGGTTGATTGATTGGTTGGTTGATTGGTTGGTTGATTGATTGATTGGATGGTTGATTGATTGATTGGTTGGTTGACTGATTGATCAATTGATTGGTTGGTTGATTGATCAACAGTTGTTTAATTTATTGGTTTTACTAGATATAATAATCCAGATGTTAATTATTTATTTCTATATGGCGCTTGTCCGGTTGAACATTTGGATGAAATAAATATCTTCTAGGCTGGTGGTTGACTGCGCGAACAAATATCATAATAACCAAATGATTGACGTTAAACCTTCTGACCAGGTGACCCGAACTTCAAGTTGAACTTGCTAAGGTCAGGCGAGGTTTGGGCGGCAAAGCTGGACTTCGTTGGACTCTCACTTTTGAAAGACTTCGTCACAATCTTTTCATCAAAAGACGGTTTTTATTTTTAATTAGTAATAATTATATACTTTATAATTTAATAATAATAGTTAATTATTTTATAGAATTATTAAAAATGTAATAAGATTCTATACTGTTATCAACATAAATATCATCATCGTCATCATCATCATAGATAGAGATCATCATCATCATCATAAATACTATCATCATCATCACCATCATCATCATTATCAAAACTTTCAAACTCCGCTCATCATCACACGCAAGGATCAATCCATTACCAGCTGAACACAAAAATTGACACAAAATCCATTTCCGGTTCGACAAATCACGTGAGCTTGATACAGAGCCCTGATTGGTTGATCAGTCCCCCAAACGAGGTCACGTTTGAAATTGGTCGTAAGATGTTTCTCTACTGTGCTGTTCTGCTGCCAAAGGGTAAGTTGATTGATGTGTCGGATTGGCTGGTTGATTGGTTGACGTGTTGGATTGGCTGGTTGATCGTTTGATTGGTTGGCTGGTTGGTTAGTTGGCTGGTAGGATGGTTGGTTAGTTGATTTAAATTGATTGAATTAAATCAATTCATCAATTGATTGGTCAGTCGGCTAGCTTATTAAATTGATTTAACAACAAACAAGTATGTATATAAAATGTTAAACTTAAAAAAATATAATATTGGATATGCCTAAATTTCTAATAAAAATTTATAGAGAACGGCGGATTTGCTGACGAGTTGGAACTCTTGAAATCGAAAAAACTTCAGCAAGCAGCAGAGAGCCAACAGCAGCACAGACGCATCCAGCACAACTCAAACAGCGGTCTCTCCAGGAAACAACATTCCAAAAAATCCTCCCTGAAGTGGGACTTCCAGTCGATCATCAACTACCACAGGGACACCACAGCCAGAACGGAAAGTACGGACGAAGGCATTCTGGTCGGGAAGAAGTACAAGATGCCCGGAGACACAAACAACACCATTTATTACGTCGGCATGCACGTTTTTAATGCCAGCCAATCAGAATCAGGGAAATATTTGTGCAGGTTCGAGAGGAGACACGATACGCTGGTACATCTCAGTCGCGTGACAGGACTTTCGGCCAATGAAATTTCTTCACGCCGAAGTAAACCAAATTATTTTACGGCTAGTAACTTTAAGAGTGAAGTTGATGATGTTAGCAATGAAAACGCGGGTGACCATGGCGAAGTAAGTAGAAGAAAAAGCACAAAAAAGAATAAAAAGACAAAAATAATAAACCGTGATAAGAGACAAGCTTTGAAATTGATTCAATCACTTCAAGATTTTGGACCTAACACGGAAAAAGAACGCGACTACAAACGCGACACCGCAAACAGAAACAGCAGCAGCAGCAGCAACTTCAACAACGACATCCACATCGAGTTAATTTCATGCGATGATGGCTTAATTACCGACGGAGTTGTTAGATTGTTTCGGAATCGACCGACTTGTTTGAGATGCCGGGCTGTCGATTCGAGTGGAAAAAAATTTCCCTCTGTTAGCATCTTCAAAAATGATGTTGATCTGGCTGATATCTTCTCGGCTCAAATCTCTTCCAACAAGATGAATCTGATTAGGAAGAAGAAAAGAAGTGTTGATGGAGGAGCTATTGCTGCTACTGCAACAGCTGCTGATGATAATTATGACGATGATTATGATGATGATATTGATGAAGATGACTATAATAGTGATGATGATAATGGTGAAAATGTTGATAATAGTAATTATGATGTTGTTAGTCGTGATAATAATGATGAAGACGGCGATGGTGATTTCAAACGAGTGAATGGTGAACAAATTTCAAAAAAGCGCTCGAAACGGGCCAACGACATAATGCTGAAAATAAACAAATACTACAGTAAGAACAAGGGCGATGATAATTACGACGACGAGGAAGATAGTAACATCCCCAAAGTCGACCGCCTGAGCTACTGCAGCTACCACCACAACCACAACAGCCACAACCAGCCACAACAAAAACATTTCAACAACAAATGTGTGGGTGTTTCAAAATTTATTAACGTGTTAGATGGTGGGGTAAGTGAAATGACCTTGACATTTCATCGACCTTCAACTCACACCTTGACCCCGGGCCATGGCTACAGCTGCAAGGCTAGCAGTGGCTCATTGTCCGCGCGCATCGACTTCAGAATTGAAATTTCTAAATAGTTTCCGGATAAAGATAGAACATTTTTTCAAGTTTCATTTAAAAACTTTTCTTTTTCGTTGGCTGAAATGATTTTTTTTATTTACAATTTAAAATGAACATTATTTTGTCGTTGAGATTTTAACCATACAATGAGACAACTTTAAAATAATTCTGAAAGAACAAAATAACAAAAAATTGAAACTCTGAAACGATGCGAAAACATTTTTCAACGAAAGTGAAACAAAATGAATGATTAGGTCTTGTGTTTTCTTCAATTAAAATTTTTCAAGAATGAATGTGACTTGCTTGCTTGGGCTCGCATGGCAGTCGTTTGACTTTTAAAACCTGCATACAAACAACAAGCGAATAGCAAGCAAACTCACTTGTCACAAAACAAACACTACACACTTTTAAAGCAAAGCCACACACACATACACACACACAGACTCACTCACACACACACAAACACAAAACGTCATCACCAATTCTCGAACAAAAATCCTCTGAATAACTCTGCAATTCGAAGCATGCACACAAAAGGTCATGAAAATAATATAACAGCGTATTTTAGAACGGCCCACTCAATGTTAACAATGCTTCTTTCATTTCAAATAAAGAGTCGACCTGCTTGTTTCTTTGTTATTGATAGAGGTCCCCCGTGTGTTATTCACTGCCTCCAATGCAATCGTTACACGCGCCATTTGGCACGTCTGGCGAACAAATTGAAATCATTATTAATGCCTGTTCTGGAATTTTTAGATGAAAATTTGTAAGACTAACAAACTGAATTTGTTTTCATTTTTGTATTTTTATCTTTAAATTATGAAAATTACGGAGCTACCTGCAGATTTTTTCACTCATTCAACCTGGTTTTTAACGGTTAAATTTCTACCCAATCGTTTGACCAACACAACCTACAAGCAGGCATACATTTAAAGAGTTTGAACATCAGTATTTTAATGTAAAACAGCGCATTTTGCTGTTACAACTTTTAAATTAATAGTTGATGAAGGAAAGAATAGAAAGAAATTTTCAAAAACTATTTTTGGTGGGGCTGTTGTTGCAGCCCGAAAGACTCCCTCTTTGCTTACCCCCACCCTTCCTGATAAAAAAAGAGATAGAATGTCTTTTCTTTAAATGCAGACAGCATACAAAATACTCAAGAAATCTAAAAACTCTTTCCTTCAACGACTGTACCAAAATTTAAACATGAAAAAGCCAAAAAAATCAAATGTAAACAATAAATTGACCACGGACAAAAACAAACAGCCACATTGATTGATTGATTGATTGATTGATTGATTGATTGATTGATTGATTGATTGATTGATTGATACGTGAGATATATAAGATGTAGAAGGCAAACAAAACAAACCGCGAACAATAGACATGCAATATGAATATCTAGATTCGACGACACACGCACACACACACATTACACAATTTACACATACACGCGCACACACGCATACAATTAGAAACACACATTAACGCACATAAACACGTGAAATGCAAGCACACACACGCACATACGCACACTATTTACAAACATACATACACAAACAAACAAACAAAACATACTGAAAAACATAGCAACACACAAAACACATACACATGCATATACATACACATACATACACACACACACGTGACTACACATTACAAATATCCAATCCCATATCTAAGCACATACAAACATACACATCACACACATACACCAAACAGATATATAAAAAACATACTTTTCAATACTATACAAACATAAAAACACACACCACACACAAAAACACAACACACACACCTACATACATTCACACACACAAAAAAAGTACTCTACTACAACTTCCGTCTTCATCCTATAGAAAACAATCGCTATCAGATCGATACAGAGTTTGGTCTATTCTATTGTTAGTTTGTTTTTTGTTTGTTTTTGTGTGTTTGTATGTATGTTTGTTTGTTGTTTAGTTGATTAGTTATTTACTGAGTTAGTTACATAGTTAGTTAGTTTTTTTACGTTTGTTCGTCGTTTGTATGTTAGTTTGTTTATGATTGTTTGTATGTTAGTTTGTTTATGATGTTTGTATGTTAGTTTGTTTATGATGTTTGTATGTTAGTTTGTTTATGATGTTTGTATGTTAGTTTGTTTATGATGTTTGTATGTTAGTTTGTTTGTGATGTTTGTATGTTTGTTTAAATTGTAGTATTATTGTGGTGCGCTGAATGGCGTGTATGATTTTTTAATCTTTTTTTTGCCGGTCATTTTCCAGTGATGTTTCTGCTCGTATTGTATGTTTTTATTAGTATTGTATCTGCATTGTATTAGCGTTGTATTCGGGGTTTTTTTTTGTATAGTGAGTCCGTTAGGTTTTGATGTTCAAAACTGCACCAATCGAAGTAAGATACTTTTTATTCAGATCAGTCATCATTATCATCATCGTCGTCATCATCATTATCATCATCGTCGTCATCACCATTATCATCATCGTCGTCGTCATCATTCCTCATCATTACCATCATCAGCGTCGTTGTAATTCTCACTAAATAAATTATTTATATGAAATTAATGGAACAATTAACTAATTAAAGCAAAACTATTGAATTAGATCTCCTTTTTAAAATAAAGATGTCGAGATTTCATTTACTACGACAAAAAAACTTGTTAGCGTGTGTTTATGTATCTGCATATGTATGTGTGTATAAGTTTATGTACGTATGTATGTATATGTATATACCTAGTATATATTTAAAGTATATATGTGTGTATGTATGTATATACGTGTGTATGTATGTATATACATAGTATATATTTAAAGTATATTGTATGTATGTATGTATGTATGTATGTATGTATGTATGTATGTATGTATGTATGTATGTATGTATGTATATACATACATGTGTATGTAAAGTGTAAGTACATAACTATGTATGAACGTTTGTTCGTATTCATGTGAGAGTGTGTGTGTGTGTGTGTTCGTGCGTGCGTGTGTGTTTGTTTACTTGTGAGAAATTACTTTGAAGTGTTTATCAAAACCTATTAAAATCATTTTTATAGATAGATGATCTTAAAAGAGCAAGCGTACGTATGTTTGTTAAATCATAAGCATAACAAAAATATTTTTTGACATTTGAAGTTGATATATTGTTTTTTATGAACAAGTGCGTGCGTGCGTGTGTGTGTATGTGCGTGTGTTTGTGTACGTGTGTGTGTGTATGCCTGTGTGTATATGTGTAATTATTAAGTAATTAGTTAGTTGTTTAATATAGTTGTTGATTAATTTTCTTCATTTCGCATTTCAAACTCGTTTGTCTTTCCATTATTTATTTAGTGGTTTTATCAATTTACACAGTAAATATATTTTGGCGTTACGATCATCATCAGCATCATCGTCATCGTCGTCATCATCATAATTATCATCATCATAATCAGAAACACCATTATCATCATCGTCGTCGTCATCATTATCATCATCATCGTCATCATCATCATTACAGACATCATAATCTCAAATTCCACTATTATCACCATTATCATCGTCATCATTACCATCATCATCATCATCTTCATCATCACATACATCATAATCACAAACACCATTATCATCGTCGTCATCATCATCATCGTCGTCGTCGTCATCATTATCATCACAGGAAGTATAATTACCATCATCATCATCACATTTACACCATCATCATCATCGCGACATTCACAATTTATATTTATCGTTCCGTGTCTTCCGCCCCTCATTGTGTCCAATAACAACCAGAAAATGGTTTTCCATATTTTACATGGATTGTCATTTTTTATCCTCCGGCCTTCCATAACAATAGCAAAGAACTAAAATAACAACAACGATAAAAATTGAGGCATTCATACAGAGCAATCAATCAATAATATTAGATCGATATCATCCATTCAGTTTGAAACATACACAAACACACACAGACACACACACAGACACACACACACGCGCACATACACACACATACACAGACTTATATTACATACACACTTACATAATCACACACCCATACATCCTCACACACAGATACACACAAATACATTCATTTGAATGTGTGTATTTTTATTTGCACGTGCGTGTATATGTGTGAGTATTCGTATTTGTATTTGTGTGTGTGTGTGTGTGTGTGTGTGGTGTTGCATATAGAGTGTATATTTGTGTATGTCTGTGTATGTGTGCTTACGTGTAAGGTTAGGTAAGTTCGATGTATTGATTGGGGCAGTAATAATAATTGAGATGTTATTTATTGGTACCGTTGTTGTTGTTGCTATTGTTGTTGCTATTGTTGTTGTTGTAATATAGTGGCATCGTTTGTATTGTTTGATCGTACAAGGTCCTGTCATATTGTTGTTGATGTTTTAATGGCTGCTTTGTGACAATCGCCTTTTGTTGTTGTTGTTTGTTGTTGTATTGTTCTGTTGTTGTTGTTGTGCTGCTATTTTGAGCTGTCATTTTGTTTCTTTGTTGTGTAGTTGTGTTGTGCATTTGATGACGTCATTTGAAGTTTGTGACGTTTTTATAATATCCTTGAACTCCTGAAATCACATCCCACCAGCTAGCATGCTTGCAAAACTTGGAGAGAAAAATGTCTCCATAGAAATGAAATAGAATAAAAACTGGCAAATAAAAGAAAAGAATGAAAGAAAGAAAAAAAAATTTAAAGAAAGAGTGACCGATGGCCAGCAGCCGACGAAAGCAACTACCGAATGGAACAATAAATATTGTTGACCGTCACTAATCCTACATTTTAACATTTTACACAATTTTTACAATCACAGTCTCGCACCCGTGCGTTCATAATGCCTCTCTATAAACAACCTACTTACTCTTCTTACTTCTCTCTCTCTCTCTTTCTCTCTCTCTCTCCTTTTCCTTCTTCCCACTTTCTCATTCTTTCTTTCTCTCTCTCTCTCTTTTTTATCTCACATCTCACTTCATTCGTTTTTTTCGTTTGTTTCCTCTTTCGATCGGAAGTTTTTAAATTTTTTGCAGCCGCC